GGCCAGGTACCCGCCCCCCCGGTCGGGGCTGCCCCCTAGCTCGGGCTGGGGCGCCGCGGTGGAGGAGGGCCCTGTGCTCCAGGAAGGGGGCATAAATGGGGGGGTCTGAGCCCGCCTTGCCCCTAGAAGCCCCGTGGGGGAGGCACGTGCCAGCCCATCCCTTGCTGGTGCGGCCTCTTGAAGAGCTGTAAGCCCCCCCGGATGATGGGGGGGGCCCCCAAGGGCCTGTTGCCCTGGCTCAAGGCAGCTTAAAGACCAACTGGGGATGGCGGGGGAGGGCGTAGGTTAAAAATTAAGCCACTGGGTGGGGGGAGACCCAGCAGAGGACACTGGTCTGTGGTGAATGGGGGCACCCCTGGGTGTTGGAGGGTTGTTGGGGGTGGCTCAGCAGCCCCAGAGGCTGCTCAGATAGGGGAAAGCCAGAGCTCATAGTTTGGGGCCCAGCACTCCCTGGCCGGTTGCAATTTTTCATCTTTTCCAGTAAAGATGGAAACAAGTTTGGCTGCAGCCTTGGGCCAAGTCCTGGGATTTGCCAGGGTAATTCTCTCTCTCTTTTTAAGCCTGGCTGAAGGGGGGAAAAAAAACTGGTAAATGTTTCCATTCAAGGCTCAAAGCCAGAGGCAAACTTGGTAAAGGAATAGCAACAATTCGCTGCTACTTTGCAGTTTGATTTTTGGAGAGCCTGACTAGTGTGGGATGTTTCCTCTCAACATTTCTCTTGGTGTTTTCTGCACAAAGATCTGTGTTTATGTAGTTTGTTTGCTTTCTAAATGAAAAAGGGAAATACTGTCATCCTGTTAAGAGAGAAACTCTAGGAATCTTAGAAATGGGGGATGGCAAAAACAGCTGAGATCTGAAGCTAATAGTTTTGTCTGGGTTGATTTAATACAACAAGCCATTAGTAGACTTCATGCAAAGCTAGTGAAACATTCATTTAAACTCTCTTCTGTGACAGGTTACTGTAACATCCAGGTACTTTGCAAGTATTAAATTACTCTTACCATGCTGCCTTGCACTGCGTACAACTTGTGTGGGGCAACCACTGCAGTAACTAAATGTTTTGAAAAAGACCTTGACTAAGACACAGGTGGAATAGAGTGAATTGAATTGAACGGGATTGGATAATCATTGATATGTGGCTAGAGGAGCTGCAAAATGCTACTGGATCAGAATACTCTCAGTGGTGCCGATGCTGTTCCAAATAGTAAATCAGAACAGAATTTGCTCAACAAGACAGAGAAATCAAGTACTTTATACCACTTTGCAGCGATGCATTATATCTTGGTGATGAGTACATGTAAGAATTCATAGGAAAATATTTTACTTGTTCATAATCATACAATTCTTGTATATTGAATACTCTGGATTTTTGTGATGATCAGTTTTACCATAATCATTTTTTCTAAACATACATGTCTCATGTAGTGAGACGCTGCATATAGTTTGCAGTCAGAATTTTATTATATAGTTACGTCTTCATTATAACTGCGAACAATCTTTTTTTTTTTTATAGTGTGTTGTGCTGTGGCATGTAAAACCAATGAGTGCAAGACGAGTATACTCTTTAGCAAAGTAGAAAAACTCCATAACTGCAGCAAATGTTTAGTGGGTTTAATTATTGTTTCTTTTATGTTGTAGCTTTTAAAGTGCTGGTTTCTCAGTGATTTGTGAAGACTGTTCTCTCTTCTGTTTAGCCTGATTCATTCAGCAGTGCCTTAGTTTGGTGTTTCATTGTGGGTTTGTTTGACAGCAAAACAACTCATTTGTCTCGAATGCTGGATTTACAAAGGGAACTAAGTAGGCAATGCATACCGAATTGGAAAGCAAAACCCAAACAACAGAAACTCCATTGGTTCATCTACTGTTGAAAGTATGAATAGCTAATGGTGGAGTGGTGGAATCTGACAATTTGAGAATGTTGTTGCACATTCCTTCTCTATTGTGTAGAAACCCCAAACATCAGATACCTAAATCTCCAAAACTACAATCTAGGTGGGTGACCAGCATTCATGTGCAATTCTTTTCTTTCCTCAGGAAGTCCTGACGTCAAAAATACTTTGGTTCTTAGAAAACTGAAATTTCTAATGGCAATAGTAGGCCCGGTGAAAGAGAGAAACTTGTCAAGCCTGGTCAGAGACTTAGTGTGGGGATAAATAGGTTGTGGTAGTGGAGTCATGAAGGCTTAATGGACTGTAAGATATTATTACCTAATGGCATATTGGGCTGCATTAGTAGGAGTGTTGCCAGCAGGTTTAGGGAAGTGATTATTCCCCTCTATTCAGCACTGGTGAGGCCACATCTGGAGTACCATATTCAGTTTTGGGCCCCCCACTACAGCAGGGATGTAGATGAATTGGAGAGTCTTGCAGAGGGCGATGAAAATAGTGAGGGCTGGGTCACCTGATTTATGTGGAGAGTCTGAGGGAACTGGGCTTATGTAGTCTGGAGAAGAGAGACTGGAGGGGGAATTTAATGGTATTCAACTACCTGAAGGTGGGGTTCCAAGGAGGATGGAGATAACTGAACAAGAAGCAATGGTCTGCCGTTGCAGCAAATGAAGTTTAGGGTAGATATTGGGAAGAACGTTCTCACTAGGAGGGTAGTAAAACACTGGAACAGTTTACCCAGGGAGGTTGTGGACTGTCCATCTTTGAAGATTTTTAAGACCCAGCTAGACAAAGCCTTGGCAGGGATGATCTAGTTGGGGCTGGTCCTGCTTTTGAACAGGGGGTTGGACTAGATGACCTCCTGAGGTCCCTGCAACCTGAATTTTCTGTGGTTCTACCATTAATAAAGACCTGTGAAAGAGGAGGAAAACAAGTTTCAATGAAGTAATACAATTTATTTTGAGCAAATTCGTACCTTCTGTGACCATCATTTTGACTGTTTCCTTGTTTGGTACAAACAGATTAGGATCAGATGTCTGGGATTTTTCAAGGAATTGAAGGAGTTAGATGCCTGACTTTGATTAAAATTATACATCTCCTTGGGCTCTGAAACTCCTCTTAAAATTGTATAACTCCTTGAATAATCCCATGTTTAAGGGTCAGTCTAATTTTGGGACTGATTGGGATATAGTTTACTCTTTCTAACCTTCAAAATAGTTTTTAATTTTAAAAATAATTTTATTTTAAAGTTTTGCTCTTGAAATATTTCTTGATTAAAAATATTTTAGATGTTTTCTCCTTTTCTCTCATGCATCTTCAGGACAATTGATTTTTAGCAGCTAGTAATCCCAGTAAATATCTGGAAGCAAGCGCTGGTAGTAAAACACTTCTGGTACTTGAATCATAAGAAAAGAACTAAGGAGAGGTGAACTTAATTGTCTAGGAATATTGGTTTAACTATAAACTTTGAAATTTGAGGTGAAGCAAATTCAAGAGTGATTTTAATGGTTGCCTGATTGTGTGTGGAGTTTCCAGATGTGAGATGCATCTTGTGGGTATATCTGAAGGACCATTTAGGAAGATATGCATAGGTCTCTCAACTCATGTTGGTCTGTAATTTTATCTATTTAAATATTTATTTATCCCTTCCTTTCTCTGTCTTGTTCCAGCTGTCATTCTGGAAGGTGCACGTTTGACTTGTGTGAAGTCCTCTGTGCGTTTCTTGCAATAGTTTATCCCTGATCCTCTTTCCTTCTTTCATTTGTTCTGGATCATTACCCAAAGAGGCCTCTGAGGTGGAATATGGTTAAAGGTGCAGTACATTTTTGGCAATGCGAAGGAAGGAAGAAAGAAAGGTATCTTTTATTTTACCTTTGGCACCACAGTGAGACTATAAATTGGTGCTCATTATACTTTTAATTTAATCTCTGTATATTTGCCTGATCACAAGTAGTTCACAGACAGAATTGTAAGTTGTACCTATATAATTGATTTCAAACAATTGCCCAAAGTTTTCTTGGCTGCCCTGCAGGTAGGAGGGGTCAGTACCAAAGGTGCAGGGTTTCTTTACTAGTGATGATCTTAACCCTTATTCAAGTACTAGTAGCAAAGGAAGATGTTAATCTACTGGAAGTCCCACATGAGGAGAGCGACTATTTTCTAGGCTTCTCCTTGCTATTTCTTGAAGGCATTGCTTTATTGCCTGGGGACTGATCAACAAAGCAGTAACCAGGAGAACTGATATGCTACAGGAGCAGGTATAATAAGCTTCCTTTACTCAGGAATCTCCTACCAGCCTGGAAGAATTCTATAATGTTATTGCCAGTAGGGAAGAACTCAGTCAAGCATAAACAGGATGCTGAAACTTGAAGACACCAGGTCTATTGTTATCCTTCTTTCTGCAAACTAAGACTGCAGATAACAGCCACAGATTTTCTGTTTAATAGAATGAATGGAATCAATAATTCATTCTTTAATGCAAATGCCAATATAAAAATATCAGTGAAGTAATATTTATTATTAGCTATGAATTCAAGCTAGCTAAATCTGTAATTTTAATGTTGAATGCAAGCAGCAGCCAGCTAAAATCACAGGTTGGATAGTTATATTTCCTCCTACCCCCTGAAAATCAATGTAGATCACACCTGGATGGATTGATTTTAAATTTAAATCAAGTTCACTTAAATCACCAAGGTGAATTCCTTGACAGAAAGGCGCAATTTAAATTGGTTATTTAAAAAGAAAAAAATGCACTATTGATACAAACGTTAAAACATGTAAATTCACAACTAAATAGAACCTTTGCATTTCACTTAGTACTTTTTATGCCACCTAGGGGGTTACACTATAATTATATGGTTATTGTATAGTTTACTATCTTCATTTTTTAGTAGTTTTGAATTTCTGGTGCGTTGGGAAATGGTGAATGGTAGGTGTATTGCTTATTTTCAAGGTATCTGTTTACTCATGATTTGTCAAGCAGTTGTCAGTATGTTAACTGAAATTTAATTAAATAGAGACATTTTGTGTGTTTTACATCTGACAAACCAACCTTATTTTTGTGTGTGTATATATTTTTTTATTATCAAAAAATCTTTCACATTTGCAACTAAATGACCACCTGAAGAGGGATTAACTGCAGTAAGTGAGTTAAACTGACTGGCTGTGAATTTCAAATGGGTAGAATTCCAGTCACTATCACTGAAGCATAAATCTTCTGAAAATGAGTCTCTGAAGTTATTAGGCTAGCCTTCAAACTTTTAAAATTAGTGGATCTCATCCTCCCTTTGCATTATTTTTTACAATCATCTGTGACTGCGAGGGATTGCCATAGAAGTCATAGACTCGAAGAGAAAGGTGAGTCTTTTTGCTCTTTCAGATTGTACTTGGCTTCTCATTTTTGTATAAATCAGTCCAACCTAAGAGTATTTTTTATTTTTTTTTGTCCCTGCAGAAAAGGCTACAGTTGTCAAAATCTAGTTGAACATTTCAGCAGACTGTTTTCAGGTGCTTACTAATAACTTCTACCAAGTTAATGGTGTGATTTTTTTTTTTTCTTTTTTTTTTTTCTTTTTTCCCCTTAAATGTTATCAGCAAATATGAACTGCTTGAATGGCTTGCCTCCAGACCTGAAATTTATTTTGGTTAGCATGATTGGAGGTCAGTTATTAAATACCCATGTCATAGCATTATCTTCCTCAGCAGTTAGGCATCTACCTTGGTATATTAAGTTGAAAATATTGGCAAGAAAATCAGATGGAATAAGTATTTGATTCTTTTGCTGGTCTGCTCTCTTTAATTTAACTTCCCAGAGTGCTCTTCAGTGTCTCTTGGAGTTCTTCCTAAATTTTAGTTGTATCAGCAATATTACAACTATCTTAATGTAACTTGTCTAAAGCTATTGACACAGATCTCAATATATTTATCTTCCATGTTTCTCTTTAGGGTGATGTTTACTCTTTTTGGCTGTGATAGTTCCATCATTTTGTCACTATTTGCTACACAAATTGCCATCACAAGGAGCCAGTTCTAAATAAATAGTTCAAAACAGTCAAAAACTGGAATGCCTTTGTACTTCTCTGAGAAGAATTATTTTTAACATGCTCTTTTCAGTGAAGCTGAATCAAAGTAGTTGTCAGAGTATTTTGCTATTTCAGTGCGTTCCTTTTATTCTTGGAATTACTTGCATCTGTGGCTAAAAGACGAATCAAATGAGCACTGGAACCCTGTAAGTTTCAGATTCCCTTCATTTTTTTTTAGACTTGTCATCTATGCTGCGTGTGCAACGTTTGTAACAAAGCTGTGCACTTGGCACTAGAATGCTCAGGTTTTTTCAACCTCTGCTTTGACTTCTTCTGAACATTGTGAGTTATGAACGTTTCCAAATATATCGAATGCTCTTGTAAGGTACAGGTATCGATCTTCTGTTGGCACACAAGCATGTATTATTGAGTCATTGTGCATGTTGCTGCACTCATCAAGATGCAGATTAATGAATTTCCCATCGGTGTGTTTTTGCACACTGTTAATTTCTAGCAATGTCTTTTCTGCCTGGCAGAGTGGAACTTATTTTTTAATAATTGGATTTTGTCAATGAACTGAACAAAATGAAAGGGAGAAATGGTTGCTTAAATGAATCAGACGGTTGTTTCATTTAAGGAGTCTTGCTGGAATCTTCTGGTCCTGATTACATACTCATCCTCTTCTGCTCAGTAATGAAAGACGACTTCTGTTACAGGTGACTTTACCAGCAGATGACTCTAAAATTGTAGGTAGTACAGAAAATGGATATTCATAATCATGACCCCTTGTATTTGAGTTGGACCCTAAAACAGAATGATTAAGAAGTCCCTCTGTTGCACTGCTTTATGAAATAACCAAGGACCTACCAAATACATGATTTCAAGGAAATTGAGTAACTGGCCGGTTCCCTGTGGAAAAAGTGTGGGGAACCATCCCCTGCCCATCCCCAGCCTAGTCCCAGCACTGTCAAAACAAAACAAAACAAAACAAAAAAACCCCATACTCACCGGCTGCAGCAGCAGTGATTGGGGGCCTCTGGGCGCTTGTGGCAGAGCCCCCTGCACAGTGTGGGGCAGCAGGGATTGCTGTCCCCCACCCCCTTGCCTAGCACTCATGTGGCAGCTATCACAGTGCTGCATGCTATCTGGGAGCTGGAGCTGAGTGGTGCTGGGCTCCACCTGACAGGTAGAGCCACTCCAGCTCCCAGACAGTGCACAACGCCCTGCTGAGCTGTGCTGCACCCATGCCATGGGGCAGCTGCTGCACAGGGGCCAAAGTGGGGGAGTGATTCCTCGCGCTGCGCAGGGGGCTGTTCCACGAGGCCTCAGAGGCCCTGATGGCTGGTGCCAGAGCTGGTGAGTATGGAGCTTTTTTTTTTACAGTGCCAGGACTAGGCTGGGCTGTGTTGGGGATGGGGCCGGGCAGGGCAAGGCAGCCATGGGGGCTTCTTCTATGGCTCCTCTAGCTGTGCCTAGCTCTGCCTCGGTGGAGGGAGCTGCGAGGGCTATGCCCTGCTGCTGCTTGCCCAGCTGATGTGGGGGGTGGGAAGGGGCAGCATGATGCAGGTGCGGCTTGCTCCGGGCAGCAGCGAGGTGTAGTCCCTGCTCCTGGGTATTGGCACTGAGAGTGGGGGCTCTGCCTTGTCACTGCTTGCCAGCCAGCGGGGAGGGAGGGATGCAGGTGCAGCAGTGCTGGGAGCAGGGGCTATGCCCTGCTGCCACTTGCCCCCTTCTGCCTGGAGCGAGCGGAGCCCGCATCCCGCCCCACCCCAGCTGGGCTAGCGGCAACAGGACAGAGCCCTGTTCCCAGTGCTGCCGCACCTGCATCACATGCCCACCTGCCTCCCTCCCCGAGAGGCAGCTGTGTCAGCTGCCTGTTTAGTCTATGGCCAAATCTCTGAAGCTTTTCCTAATTGATTCAAAGCATCCAAATTGATTTGGAGCTTTTAATTGGTCTCCTGATTCGATTTGGATTCTGTCCCTGAATTGGGCCGAATCTCTGCCTAATCAAATCAGCTACAGAAGCTTCGCACAGCCCTACCAGCTATGTTTAAAAAAAGTGGGCAAAGAGCTGGCAAAAAGCTGTCTACTAGAAGGGTGAGGGAAGGGAGCAAAGAGGAGGGAAAAGAAAGTCAGACTGCCTGTCTCCTGATTAGGGGGTGTGTGTGGAGGAAGGAACTCTTCTCACCTCTTTGTCTTCAGAATAGGAATGGGGGGGTGGGTGCAGGGAAAAGACCATGGCCGAAAGTCTCCTTCTCCTGAAGGGGTGTGGAGGGGAGAGATTACTTTAATTGTTTGTTTACAAAGTGATTATTGCCCCCTGCCCCTGGAAGGGGGTGATTAATTACTGCAATAAGCCAGGCAGCTCCAGTTTGGGTGGGGAGGGTGTAGCTTGGAGTGGAAAAAAAATGCTGAAATTCATCCCTGCTTGTTAAAACTTTAGTTTTAAACAGACAGGCTTCACCTAGGATGTTTCGTTGTATTATGCTGTAAAAAATCATTTCATAAGTCCAGCCTCCATAGTAAAAACACAGTTGATAACAACTCTCACAATAAATTAGACTGCCAACTATACTTTGAACAGGAACACTTTCAAATGTATTAGTAAATAACCCATACAATTTTATGACAATAATTTATCTCTTTCTCCTTTCTTTTCTGCCTCATGGTATGGAAAAAGCCACCCCATCATGCACAATCTTGCCCAGTCCAACCAAGTAGAAGTGGTGTGAGTGAGTGTGTGTGTGTGTGTAGGGGAAATATTTCCTTACATTTGGGATTACCTGATAACTGTCATGGGGATTGTTACCTTTCAGCCTTAACATACAAATATC